CGTACCTACTGTTGCACATAGATACGTCCATGGAAACAACCGCCGTCGAGCTGTGACGTCAGCTTGCGCATGCGCACGAAGGCTCCCACGTGGGAGAAAATCCCACGTCCTGGCATCACTGCGCTCCACTCGCCTGAACCTATATATATAAGTGTATCATATAGCAGTATATAGGTATATAACTTGTCTGTAGCTGTACGCAAATTACGCCAGATGCCAACCGCTTACTTTTTTGCGATTGTTCCTTACGCGAATAGAAATTCGAATCTATAACGTGTATTATTTGTATTACCTGAACCTGTACTATGACTTATATTATTTGTTGTTTGTCGTTTGTTATAAAAAAGCAAGACAAGATGTAATTATACATAGACATATATTTTTTTAAAGAAGATAGTCAAATTTTATGCATCGTTTCTATAGCAGACACTTATTTAAAATATCTCACAAAATATTCATTTTTCGACTATTTCACCTTAATACTTTTTTACGCAGGACAACGAAAGGAATCAGCGTACATATAAAAAAATATATATCTATCATAAAAAACTGTGGAATCGCATATTGCACATACACCTTACGTTACGGATAAGATTTTGTCACGCGAACATGTGCTCTTTGAACCATTCAACTTTTCCCTCTAACATTTTTTTCCAATTGCAATTATAGAGAAGAGATATGCTTTAGTTACGTGGGGAACTTCCTTACAAGGTGAATGCTTTTGTCGAATAAGTACAATTAATCGACGTTTATGATGTATGGTGTTGATAGTGAAAATGATGTATATAGCCAAAACAGAAAGTTTGTTGTGAGCTATTGATACCCAACTGGATACAAGGAACATGATGAACGCGTAAAAAAGTCTATTTATCCCGACAATAGAGCCGACAGATACGCCCCTGGAGGCACGATTCCGCGCGTGCTTAATCTCCGCAACTGTCACATTCTGTCAATCCCGGTCGTCAGCCTGTGCTCATCAGCCATGCTATGTCTAACTGTAAAACGTGCGAAATCGTAGACATTTAATCGTCGCCCAAGTGCGGTTTCGGGCCACCGGGAAAAACGGCGGCCCGCAGTTCCGATCAAACATGTACCGTATCTGTCACGATCTAACAGTCGATACGGGTGTGTCTACGCGTGTGTTCCGATACATGACCAAGTATGTCAGTCAGTTCTGGTCAGTTCGTAAAAGTGCGACGTGAGCCGTAACCGTGGCGAGCATTGGGTTACCGGTAGCCAGGAATTTTCTGACGATGTCAGCTGACATCCTGCAGGATAAAAGTGTGGCCTTGAACGGCAAGAACGACGTACCGGTAGCCCCACAGCCTACTACCAGGGGTGGACTTAGGGTTTATAAGATAGTCGTTTTGGGTGACGGCGGTGTTGGTAAATCAGGTACAGCTGATTTTTGTATTTATTAGTATACATTACACTGGCTAACAAAAGAAATCAATTTTTGGTCATACGAAGTATTATAGGTATCTCATATACATATAAATAGTATTCCTTGTACTAAATTCAAGTGTGTCTTTAATGTTTTTGTTTCCATCAGTCATGGTTTGGAATAACATAGATTTCAAAATTTGAAATATTATATACTTGCATTTACCACAGAAAAGTATATCTATAATTATTTAAAAACAACTGGTTATCTATTTTCTTTGGTATTTGGCTTCTGACATGACATTCTTGAAGATCCAACAATAGTCGAGCAATATAATCACTGTGCTTATTGCTCATTATTCAAAAATATTTGTGGGATGAAATTTCATGCATTTTAGATATTTTTTCGTAGATCTTCTTTTATTTAGATTAGAATTTTTCAATTAAATACAATTTTAATACAATTTTCAAACGAGGAATGAATCAGGAAATGAGTACGGGCAATAGGAAAATTCTAATTGCACATTTGAATTCATCATGAGAATTTATATAAAATGTTATATAAATTAGTGCTTATGTGACAATACATTGTTCTCCATTGTTATTCATGGAAACTGCTTGATATATATGTATTACAGAAATGGTTTTTCAGCTGTCACTCTTCAGTTTGTCAGTCATAGTTTCATTGACTACCATGATCCAACTATAGGTAAGAATCTGATGCATATAAAATGTAGTTAAAACTTTTATGAACACAAGTAATAGTTTTTTCTTGGAATGATTTAGATTTTGGGATAATGTGTTATTTAATCCTTTTTGTTATTAACAGAGGATTCATATCAACAACAAGCAGTTATAGATGGAGAGGCTGCACTCTTAGATATATTGGATACTGCAGGACAGGTCAGGATTTGTTCTTATGATGATGTTCATTCTAGGAGAAACTGTATACATTACTATTGCATTTTTTGTATGCAGGTGGAATTTACAGCAATGCGAGATCAATATATGAGATGTGGAGAGGGTTTTATGATATGTTATTCTGTAACAGATAGGCATAGCTTCCAGGAAGCTTTGGAATATCGAAAACTGATATCACGCGTAAGGGCTAATGAAGATATTCCATTGGTATTGATTGGCAATAAATACGATTTGCAACATAAAAGAAAGGTAGATTGTCTGCTTACAATTAGGTTTTATTGATTTTCTGTATCTAATAATTGTATTATAGGTAACCACAGAAGAAGGTAAAGCTCTTGCTGAACAACTTGATTGCCCTTTTTATGAAACATCCGCGGCTCTTAGACAATTCATAGATGATGCGTTTTATTCGTTAGTCAGGCAAATTCGTGCTAAAGAAAGGTCACGCAATTCAATACGTAAACACAGTCGCTGGTGGCGGTTGCGATCAATTTTTGCCTTCATTTTCAGGAGAAAACAAAGACACAGCAACAATCATCACAATTCCCCTTGAATGTGATCGTTCTAATAGAATAGACGATCTTTTGATAGCATATATTTTAAATTAATGAAACTCGGAAACACAGTTTAAACTTCCATAAATTACAACGAACACAATTTTCAATAATTTTTTTTATATTTGATAATAATCTCCCTATTTAGAGACTTACCGATTAACAGCTCACTGCCTTATCTTCAACCCCATTATATTTGGAACATAGTAAGGGAGATGCAAACCATAGACTGCAATTCATATTTTTTTATCATAGGTCCTACAACAATATGTCAAATTAGATTTAGTTACCAATTCAAAGAGAAGTAAGCTTATTATACATTCTATAATATGTACTTCTCTTGAAAGTAAAGCTTCAGTATGGCAGTAATAGTATTTTCATGACTCACTGTCTCTTGATACAATGGTTCTTTCACTATTATTTATTGAAAAGGCTGTTAATGTTATTTATAGTATATTTTACCAAGAAGAGCAACAGAATTTAATGCCTAATTCTCATAGATATAGTTTATTTATGTCTTGTTTCAATCAATATAATCACATCCGGTTGGTGCTGCTTTTTAGACAGAATTTGAATTTTAATTGTTAGAATACATCTATCAAATCATATGACCAAAGAAGTCAGCATTCACTGCTGAGGTTAACATTAGACATAATGTAATGAACTTGTAAATGTACAACATTTTATAAATGCGAGATGCATGGTAAGCTTTTTATATCACTAATTGTTATATCATCCTAATTAATGATATGAAGTTGAACAATTGATTTTTGTTTATGTTAATTTAATTTTTACATAAAGCAGATTTACAAGTGATTCTACATCACAGAGATTTTACATCGAATGGATCAATAAAAGTGTTTAAATTTTATATATATTTAAAAGTCGCACAAAGTGTAACAGTTTTTTAAAAGACATTTACTGATCAAAAGAAAATGACTTACACGAGTATATTTTTTATTTTTAACGCGTAAAACGTTAGCCGTATATGATGTTGTTGTCAGTTGGCAAAGTTTTATGTTCATGGAAATGAAGTGGGTCCTAACAAAATGTACATTTTTACGCTAGAATTAACATAGTCTACGTATAACAGATGATATTTTCACGATTCCTACTATTTGTTATTTATTGACATTTTTAATTTATGCAGCTTCTAAAACACGTAATTTTATTTCTAGAGTGTATAATGAAGTATATAATCATAGACGAATCTTGAAAGAATAGATATATCAGTAGTATGATATGCTTTAAATAATTACCACGCAATAGAGCAAATTTATATTGACGAATAGTCGTAATATAAAGGTAAAACGGTTAAACGTAAGTTTATATATTAAAGATCTAGTCGTTACTTAATGTTTCCTAGTCAAGTTTTGCATTTTGTTATACACAGATAATTTATAGTATAATCGTGCAGTTATGAATTTTAATTGAACACAATCTACTATGGTTGTTCATATATATGTCATACCATAGAAATATTTATACGCGTTAATTAGTATTATATTCGTTATAAACATTTTATAAATTCTATATAAGAAATGCTGGTGATTTATATGTAATCAATCTTATCATATCGTGATCATGATAACAGAACTATTTTATTTTTTCGAACATACATGTATATATATACATATATACACAAAGTAGTATTATCAAGCAATTGATAATAAGTTGCATAGTCCATAAATAATAGCTTTGTACTGAAGAAATAAAAAGTATTACTAAATACAAACGAACTATATACAGTTAGTGATTCAATATGTAAGAGGAAATCTGTATAATATATGTAACATGTAAAATGTGTTTGATCTTTAGATGATTGTATCTATAAAAGAGATTACTTTGTTCACATTACTGCAATTATGTCTTTTTATCATTTTGAACAACTGAACATACACAACTATAGTCATGAAGTATATGAAAATTAGAATTACAATAATATGTAATTTATTAATGTGGAAAGGTAATTTGCATAACTGTTTTGTTAGGACATTATGTAACATTTATTAAAAAGGGAATTAATTAGAACTGATAGAAGTGTACTGTAACAATGTAGTAAGTCAGAATTAATTCTGTATAAAAAAAGTACAGGAGGAGGAACACATTTTACAATGACAATACGATAAAATATTAGTCGGAATGTAAGTTCACAATGTAATCTTAAAAAGAATTTTCTAATCGAAGAAAAAATATAAAAGACGCACACGATATACATACATGCTCCTTTTAATAATGAGCAATTTGATATGATTGGAGTGAATTTAACTAAAATTAATATCGTATATAAATTGTAAATGTGACATGCTGATCGAAAATATCAAAATATAAATTGTAAATGTATTCAAAATACAAAGTCTTAATCTACAATTTTATTTAATTTTCAAATATTCATCCCACCATAGATTCTTAATTAGAACTTAATTACTAAGTAATCATAATTTAATTAAGAATGCACATTTTATTGCTCTTAATTATAATTCAAATTTTTTTTAAACAATCACAATCATAACAGTTGTATTAATTCTGGTCAAAATTTAAGTAAACTTAAATATATATCTATTGGCACTTACAATTAGTATAATAAGATTTTTGTAAACTATATAATTGTACAAGTGTTTCAGTTCAAGTCATTGATTCGCAAAAATATTCAGATGCAAATGTATTAAAACATAAATCATGTCTTAATGAATTCTTTGTATTATTAGTTATAAACTCTTACGAATAATTATGAAAAGTTATAAATCTATCATGTTTAAAAGGTGCCTTTTAATTAGTGTACGAAGTCCCCTTGCATTATTTATCCACATTGCCTGTTGCTTTCATTTGTTGATCCCTGTCACTTTCTACTGTAGTACTATCGGCGGATGCCGGATTCCCTTGTTTACTATCATCTAAATGAGTCATAAAAGAAACAAAATAATTTAAATCTTACTTTTTTTTTTACTACTTTTTCTTGAAATCAATACCAATTAATATAAAAACTTATAATTATTCTTCACAGTGTATTATTAATAGAATGATAATGAATGAATTGCATATTGGTAATGTATACTTAAAGTACATCATTTAATTACCTGGACCCTCTATTTCTACTCCATCTAGATCGTCTGGTGCCACAGCATGATTTGGTTCTTTTGGACTTGCTTTAGCTGAAAGTCATGTAAACTAAGTTACTATTCTACAATGAAACAATAAAGGTATTTCTGAAAGGTTTTAATTGCAGTTCAATGTAGATACAGATAAACCATTGTTAGTAAATAACATTTTAATAGTCTCTGAAATTAGTTTATCCCTCACCCAATTAGTCAACAAATGTTAACAGTTGTCCATAATACCATACCGAAAAAAGACCTTAGCGATTGAAAGTGTAAATTCACATTGAATAATTCTCAATAAGTTTACATTATAATTGTCCCAGAAACATACACAGGAAAATAATTTAAATTCGATTAAGATCGCATAAAATGAAAATCTGGTACAGCACATATTAAAATTAATAATATTCGTATATCTTTTATTTCTTAATACGTTGATACAAATACATAGAGTAAAATCTATGATTAATATTTTATCTTTTATACCAGTCTATCAAATTTATATATTAAATATATTCACGAGAATAAAGTGTAACTAGATTGGACACAAATAAATAAGCTTTTTAATTGTGGCATCAGTGTAAAGAAGTTAAAACTATAAATATACGTAAAGTTAACAGTAATAGTAAGCTATAAATAAGAGATCATTAGTTTCCTGTAGGAAAATTTAAGAGACCATTAGTGCTTATGCATGGAAATGCATCTCCATCCATGCTGTGCCAAATGATACGAAACAAACGATGTTCCTGTACATGTTAAACAAATAAGCAGTGCAGTGTGCTCATTAAACATGTTATCTATTTCATGTAAACAGAAATTTGACGGAAGAAGCGCAAAAAGTACATGTTACAGAGTAACTGTAGGAATATATTGGTTTACTTTTCTGATAACTTTCTTTTCCCCTGAGACAGGAGAAAAGTGTCACTACCTTTCAGCATTGTAACTGAGAGGCGAGGACTTTGGCGCACAGCACCGGGTGGATCTCGTGGAAGAATTGGGATTCCATGGTACTTCAAACCACGCTGACCGGCTACAGATACTTTTACAGCCGACTCCACAACAGAACCCGATTGAGTCTTGTTATTGGCTGTTCTTGTAGCTAAATTGACAAACCCCCAGAATATCTTAAAATGTTAAGTAAGTTGGTAATATGCAGAAAATGAAGAAAAAAACATGGTATTAATGTTTCTAATGAGGCCCCGAAGATGTTAGAATTACTTAGAACCTGATTATTGGAGAAGTTGCTGTAATTTGGTCTGATTCTTGACATGAAAATATAATGTCAAGCTAGTGACTCAAGTTAAAAGAGACACTGTTCATTATGTGTTCCAATTTATAACTGCAAACAACACATCTTAAATTGTTTCAATTTGATCTACACTTTTGTGAAAATATATAAAGGTGATAAAAAACAAGGTCCGATACTTATAGGTCTTATTGTACCGAGAGGAGTAAAAAATGTCTTAATCAACGTAAGTCCTAAAAGCAATCCTTTCCTTGTAAAATCAACTTTTATTATTTATTACCGTTTCAGAGTACTACGACTTATGTTTATATGTACCTTCTATGTTTACAACCTTCAACTAATACTTTCAACTTCTCTGTGTTGGAAGCGAAATAATACGATCATGATACGAAACGCTAATAAATAATAAAAGTTGATTTTACAGGGAAAAGATTGCTTTTAGGACCTACATTGATTAGACATTTCTCATTCCTCTCGGTGAGTACTATAAGGCCTATAAGTATCGGACCTTTTTTTATTACCCTGTATAGTTCAGAGAATATAAAAGTATAAAATAAAATTAAAAAAGTATAGACAGAGTTGCAACTTACACTGTTGAGTTAATTCAGGATTCTTTTCAGGATTTCTGGTGCATGTAAGTTTAACTTTGTCCAGTTCATCCTTCAACTAGAAAAAACATTTATATGATAAGTGAAGTATCGTTATTAGAATATATCAAATAGAATCAGAGTTTTTAAATGACATTTGTACCTGAACTATCTCTTTTTGTAATTTTTTATTTTCCTGTAGTTTTTCATATAATTGTGTATTAAAATTATCGTTGTCCTCTCTCAAGGTTTTTAGTGTTGCAGACTTAGTAACATCTAATTTGCGCAAGGAATCCAGATCAGTCTTGTACACATTGATTGATTCCCTCAATTCCTCATTTTTCTTCTTCAAATCTGTTTGTTGGTCCAAACGAACATGAAGTGATGCCACCTCTTCCTCTACATGCTTATACCTTTTCTCCAGATTTCCACGTAATGTCACACATTGATCTCTCTCTTCAGCACTGAAAAGCCGAATATAAAGAATTAACTTACAGTTGTAAATATTATCTCTAATCATTGACAACTTAAAAATAAAATTAAATAATGACGCTTCATTTTTTTTACACATATATTAGTACTATATACCATGTTATATACAAGATTTTTCTAATACTTGCCATGTAAGAGACACTAATGAAATAAAGATAATTTGTAATATTAACATGTTTAGCAGAGAGCTTACAACTTCAGGTCAATCAAAAATTTGACAAATGTTATACAATGTGGGCAGAAATTTTATAAACGTGTGATAATTGATAATAAATTTATAACTTCATTGATATCTAAGTTGCATTAAAAGAAACATGATGTCGTAATGTTGTAATATTGTATGAAAATAATACCTGATTTTCAGTTGCTCATTTAATTCATCAATTTGTCTAACTAGCTCGATATTTTCCGAAGACAGAGTCCACCAGTTGCAAATGAGCATTAAACAAGCGACGAGGAGACCACCGACAAGGACGGGAGGACATCGGCCTCCTCCGACTCTCATACTGTCAATTCCCATTCCTTATTTATTGTACCCTGTATTTAGGACAACATACATGTGCTCAATTATTTATACACGTGTTAATGAAAAATTAATTCTCCGTATTTGTCACACGCGTTAGATTCCGTAGAAAAATAATTAAGATCGAGGGGGAACACGACATTTATCACACAACTGTCACGGTGCATTACTCACGATTGATGCAAGGGAATAAAATAAACAGTCGTTCTTTTCGATTCCTTTCCGAGGATGCGAATTCTCGCTGAACAATCTTCGCGCGATTATTGTGTGTACGAAAGGAAACGCGTGTAACGTGTCGTGGGCGTATTCTGATTATACACTACCGGTATTGACACATTTTATCGCGGTAAATATTAAATTTTGTTGCGCCTCGACGTGCCGGGGTCCTTAACGTGTGTCAAGCAATTCCGTTTCTTTGCGGGTAGCTGCGACATTAGCGTAAAACCGTTTAAAAATCAATGCTGTGCATTCATCGTGCTGCAATAACTAACAGAGAGACGACTGACTTAACCACGGCAATCACAGTCACATACAGGACACACATACGCTTGCGTTAGACGCGTATAATATACTGGGTGTCCTATGGTACGTGCCGGTTAAAATAAGTTCTAAATGAAGTAATGATAAAGGATAAATATTTTCATATAAATCACCAAATCGTTCATATATAAGTGACTGTGTTTGTTTTTTTCTTTCAAGTTTCTTAAATAGAACACTATAATTTCATGACAGTATCTTGTCCCACAAAAAAATAGATTTAAAGATATTCTACAATATGATATTGCAGTTAGTGAAGGTAAAATAATAGAATAAATAGAAGATTTTTATTTAAAAAAACGTTCTTTTGCGCGTAGTCTGAGCATAGCAACTGGATTCACTTACATAGCCCGGTCTTTTCCAACTTCTTTCACTTGCAGCAGTTGAAACGATTCTCAAACTATTTTCATAAGGTTCATGAGACGATCTGACATGACGATATAAATATATAAGCTGAGAATCGCTGCAGGCTGTGAAACGAAGAGAAGGGGGAAGGCCTGTTTGCTAAGTGGAACCAACTGCTACGCTCAGACTGCGCGCAAAAGAACGTTTTTCATTAAAATCTTCTATTATTTCTATTATTACATCTTAATATTTATCTTTTTTTTTGTTTAACTAAATATCAATATGAAGATACAGCACTGTGCTTACAAAAATTATATTAAACATTAAATAAATGTCAGAGCAAGACAATGTTATCTCAACAAATACTGATTCGACAATACAAATTTTCTTCTAGGATTTTTTTAAGAAATAAAAAAATATTATTTCGATCAGCGTCTTCCTGGAACACCCTGTATACACGTATAACCCGATAGAACCGCATCCACACATTTTATGTAGACACGTATTCATGAACGAAGAGTTGACAGTGTCTAAATGCACAGTCAAATACTACTTCTGTAGAATACTGACTTCTTATACTGATGCATTCACGGTTTTTGCATTATTATCTTGCATCCGTCCGTTGAAAGATTTACTTGCGAACAGGAATTGGCAAAATATATCTCGAAAAGGATTTGAATGATGAATACGTAGATTTCTTTGTAGTCGAATTTGTTATTTGAGTAGACACAGAATGTTTTCTTTTGGCTTCATTCTGGAATACAGAGTACACAGGTGTTTTCCAATTGTCTCATTAACAAATTGGCATAATTAACAAAGCAGAGATCGTAGCCAAATGAGTCAAGAATATTATTTGTTCTATCTCATTGTCGATTGAATATATCTTATCAATGTTTCATCGTTTTATTCTTTAGTGTTCACACTCTATGGACGAATAGTGACTCTGCGCAGCATTTCTGTGATGCGCAACAATTATAAATATCCTCGACTGCAATCGATTGATTGTCGTATACTTCGAAATTCACGGTTCATCGAAATGTAATTCTCCAAGAATTCGAAGTCAATAGTGCAATGTATTAAAAAAATATCTCTTTTTATTTGTCTATTTAATAGAAAAATTAATGCATTAATATTTTACTTTTATAACTCAGGAACGATAATGGATCTGTATTCGATAATAATACCGAATCAACAATTCAATCGACAATAAAAGGCTCGATTAGGCATCGAGCAAGAAATTACGAAAATATTTAATATTCCATAGAATTGTTGAACACGAAATAGAAATGAGATTAAATATTCGATCGTAACAGAATACGCAATGCTAGGTTTGTTGGAAATTGACCTCTGTATTCAATGCGGGTACTTATTTAGTACTTCTGTTTTACTTCAGTTATCACAGATCCTTCGTGTGCGCTCCACTCTGTTTGCGAACACTCAGAGACTGCCGCTACGAACAATTATCTCGTGAAATTATACATAGCAATGTGTTCAGGCTCTGAGCAATTTTAACGGTTGTTAATTACAACAGATACACACAACTTTAAACTGCGATAATGCAACATAATCTTCCAAGATAACATTCTTTTTTTGCGTACCGTTCATCCTTTGAAAGGAATTTTTGTCAAGCCTGACTGAAATAAATTAGCGAAAAATAAATACACATATTGCTGCAATTTAAAAATTGGCTGTGTACATTTTTAAATTAGGTAGATACCCTACGGAATGCAGTGAAGGAGAAAAGTATTCCTACGTTTTGTATATTGCAATTAACTTCTCTTCTTGTAGATTCGTTATTACTAAATTATTACATACACAGAGTTTTTCGACCCGTGGTTCACTGTTAAATAAATATTTTAGAATTATTTATGTATTGTTATTAAATAGAATTTCTAGTAGGGAAAATAAAATTCTAGTTTTGCATTTATATGAAGTAATAACTAGTACTGCAAACTATAATATAAAAAATATAGCTCTTTCTATTTTCTCATTTTTACCGTGCAAACATTTGTAGCCTTCACGTGATAGGAAAAAAGAGAGAGTTCGAGAAGATATATAGAAAGGAAACAAAATCGGAGAAACTAAGGATAGACGCAAGAAGAAAAAACAAAGAAAGAAGAATAAAGTAAATAAAGAAAAGAAATAGTAGAGAATCTATTACGAATAGATGAGAACGGACAAATACAAGAACCCAGATAACATATGACGCCTAATGACGCCTTGAAGACGGCTTAAAGGTGTCTTAGACTTAAAATAGCCATAAAGTGGGCGTCTTCAAGGCGTCATGTGCTATCTGGGGAAGCAATACGAAAATATAAGTATATCTATTAACAGACCATGACGAAGCAGAGCAAGTCATACTGGTGCGATTTAGATGTGGAAACGAAAAAAAAGAAAGATACTCGAAATTTAGCATATGTAACGAAAAATTGGAAACATTAGAGTATCATTTGTTAATTGTTCAATATTTTTTAAAATAATGTGAGGATATAGACAAAGAAATAGAAAGGGAGTGATTAGGGGACAATTGAGGAGGAGCGCGTTGGTGGAGGAAAATCATAGACGCGAGAAAGTACGAAGACATAGGTAAAAAAAATCACTCCTTTATTTATTATACCATATTGTTATATATGCATTCTTAAACATGTAACATGAACTGTATAACGCCCTTTTCTAAGGCTAAAGGGCAAAGAAATAAACTACTACTACTACTACTTGTGTCCTTCACCGTATGTCGGAATCGAGAGCAGAAAGTAACGCTTCGGAAGTAATGTCATACGTACAGAACTCACATTTATATTGTTCTATTTAATATATTTATATATTTATTTATATATCTTTACCGAACACTATACCATTGAATCATTGAATACAATAAACAGCTGAATGGAGTGAAAAAGTATTGTGTTCACGTAACGAATTCGAACGACAAGATACACGTGTATTTTGAACGTCGACGTTCAATCCATACACCGTGACACGATTTACCGAAAGACAGCTGGTTCAAGAAACATCGAGCACTCTGTTTCTTCTCTGACATCAACTAATTGATTATAACGAGTAACATAAAAATAGTCCGTGGATGCATGCTGATCTAAAATTGTAATTCCTGCCAGTAGGCAAGGTAACTCGAACACATACAAATCTCAAGTTTGTTCGGTTATGATTCACGTGGGAAAGAAAAACAGAGATCTTGATTTTCGAACATTGTCGCGTGCAATATCATCCGCGATGTGTATAACAGAAAATAGTTTTCTTTTATTTTACAATTCTTCACGCACTGTTAATCAACTAGCGTCGATTTATAATAAGTGTGCCATCTTAAAATAAAACAGAAACATTCGTGGACCAATATCGTGAGCGTAAAATGTTGTTTAATTCTAATTAAATACGAATTTCAAGGATCGTGTTTAAATACCGGACGACCCTCTCGATGTTCTGCGGTCTTACAATAATTCTACGCGCATCTTGAACAGACGAATTGATCATTTAATCATAAACGAACACCCCATCATATATGCGCAACTTATCGTCGACATCGTTACAGTATCATTTTTCACGTGCAGCGACCTTGCCTGCGCGCGAACCAAAATAAAATATATGAGAAATTTAATATACATATGTATATATGTCGGCACTCGGCATCATTGTCGTGTTTGTCGTTTGGAGAGTCGATTACCCACTTTTTGCTTTTTACTTCCTACATCTGGCTGCGCAGACGTTCGCCATTTGTACGAAATATTTGAGCTAGACTTCAAAAAATAATCTATCGCAGCGAACGTTGTACATACGTTGTATTATTCCGTACACTCGGTGTCACAAGAGTACCGTCTGCGGCCATACATGTGCAAGTTGGGCTATCGATTATTGTGCTGACGCCGATTATTCAGATTTTTGATTATCAGGACATCGATCGGCGTCCGAAAGACCCTGACATTAATTTTTCGATGATTTATCGAGCTTCATGTCTCGTTTATATTTGTTTTCGTTTGAAAGTTTCGCCCGATAACTGACGTACTATTATCGATTTATCGGACCGGCGGATCGTCCCTCCGACTTGTCCACATAATCAGCCTCTTACTGTCTATCTGGCCAAACCATTTATTTCAACGAGCCAGCTGGTATGACAATCGGACCTACCATTTTAAAGGTTTCTCATTGAATTTCTATGATAGAGCCGAAGTGATTCTCATGCGATCCATTTAACCGAAATATATCTTATTTCTAAGCAACACAATACAGGGCACAATTACGTAACTTTATCCTACTAGTGCATACATAGAAATATGTAATTTAAGTATTTGAGCGATAGTTATGTTATTTCCCATTATTCTCTTCAAAACAGCATAATCGTCGTTTAATTAGCCTGTAACATGTATCGAATGAGAAAATCAGGTGGGAACATTCCGTACATGGGAACGTGCTCACAATGAACCACGTGCGTCCAAGTTAGTTATGTTATTTCCCATTATTCTCTTCAAAACAGCATAATCGTCGTTTAATTAGCCTGTAACATGTATCGAATGAGAAAATCAGGTGGGAACATTCCGTACATGGGAACGTGCTCACAATGAACCACGTGCGTCCAAGCACGTGCTACTAACATTGAAATGAGTAGTAGAATATTGCGGTTCACGCAGGAGATATTCGATCACAGATACACAGTTTCCTTTACGGGACTCTCTGCGAAAAATCGGTAACTTCCCGTCATCTCGTTTCACGTTTGAAGTATCTCCATCCTGTTTCAACTACATACGTATTTCGTAAAGGAGAACGAAACTCTGAATGATATCGTTTTTCTCTCTTTATACATAAAGATAGATCCGTAGTAACAACTGCGAGTGATTTTACATCGATCTTCGCGCACATGAATATTGTCTTCTTGATCTGTTTTATGTTTTTGTCCCTTCTATTCCGCTCCGATAGATCGATAAATCGGACAGATCTGAAATGCATACAGAGTTACACAAAGAAACTCGTGTTTTCTATTCGTTCGTCGTTCTTCTTACAATTATAAAAGCTGCGCCGCCGTTCTCAACAGCATGTAAACTCTTCTCTGTGCTCCAACGTCAGTTTTAAATCGTGTCTTATAGTCAGAAACAATTGCTGATCCGGGAAAGTGATGTTGACGTCTAAACTAAGGCGTCGAATTGTGTCAAAAACGTTAATTAGACAGATATTCCGGAAACCAGCTCGGAAATTAACCTGCACGTTCGTTCGCGGCGATGTCAAGCAACTGTTACGTTAGAACGTCGCATTCTTGCGACTTTCGAACGCGGCAACGACTGAACGATGGAATTAATCGATAAAAGGTACGATCCGATATTCTGTTGAATAGCGCGTTATTATTTTGTTTTTCACTTTGTTTCCATTTGCAGACCCTATACAAAGTTCGTTATATTTCGGGATAATTATTAACTATACAAGGTGTGATACCATTCTCAAGAAAGTACATACATACATCGATGTGTAGCGTTTTCATTATTAGCGACAATCGTTTTACAAGGGATATACAAACATAAATTTATATCGAAGTATAAAATTTGAATTGGCGAATATTGGTTTCCTTAAACGATACCGGGTCTGCGATCAGGCACACTAATTTTGTAAATGTAGTTTTAAACATTTATGAATATCTAACACGTTTCGAATCATTTATTTACAAATTTCGGTAAACCTTCAGAAGATATGCACGAGAAGATGATTCTTCTTTTTTAGTTTCCAAAAGTGGAGGGTTCGTTTGATGAATCTTAGAATTACACTTCCCATATACAACGTGTCTTCGTTTTCGTTTTTAATTCCTCTATTGCATACAATTCGCTCTCTATACGTTCGATATTTCACGTACGCCCATGCAAATTGTAATCATACTAAGGTTGTTTTTCTTTTTAAGTTCTAGTCACGTAGAAAAAGAGTCTGTAGTAAAATCGTGGTCCGATGTTTATTTTTTTTTTGTTTCCAATATGCTCCCTTATAGGACGTGGTGGTGCAACTTAAAATATGCGAGCTCAAGGAAAACCAATCTTATCGATCCGTTTGAAAATTTTATACGTAGAGAACAAAAAAAAAATACTACAACCATTTGAGACTATGTTTTTTTTCTTAATTACATTACAGTAAAGTAAACCGAGCAACAGATAACTGAGTGTGCTTGTGTGATTATTTGCTTTCGTTACTGCCAAAGAATATCGATTAACAGAAAGGCAACACACGAAATTAAAGTGCAGAAAAATGAAGTATGGTACGAATATGTCTTATGATTAAAACTGTAAAGTGCTTCAAGCATTTCTTCTTGGATTATCATAGAATGTTCTTTAATTGGTGTTGTAATATTACACGCAGCATTTCCTTTCGATCTTTGTTCTCGTAAAACAGTTATAAATGAGTAATGAACAAAAGCTTTTTATAGTAAAATTAATTAAAAACTAAAATATATAAACACCTGTAAAAAGAATCCTTTTTAGTACAATTACTGAAGTACCCAAAGTAACTTATCTGTTTCTAAGTTCCTGACATGTAGTAAATAGATCATGACACTTTTATTTGAATGTTAAAATGGAATTTATACCTTTACTTCCTGTTTTAGTAATATGTTATAGTTACGCTTTTAAAGTTACAATTATCTACAGCATAAGTACATATTTTCATTATGCATGACACTATGATGAAATAATAAGTACTTCATGTACAATTATACATGAAATTATTATTTTCCTTTTAATTATTACTTTATTACTTTACAAAGAACAGAATATCGTACTACATATATGTACATGTCAAAATGTTTTATTTGCACAGTTATGAACTAATATTCCAATATGGTCTAGTATTATTATGATACACTATTCAAATAATTATTCTGTTGTCATCTAAAAATATTGTTAATTTTCTTTAAATTTTGATGGTGCAAATATTACAAAGATGATTGCACCTGATTAAAAAGAATTTTACACTATGTGCCCCTTTCTCTTATTGATTCTGTGTTTGCTTTGCAATTGGCAGTAACAAAAGGAACCAGGGTATAGTATAGCACCAATGTTCTATACAGAAAAAGATGGTATGATAAACTTTTCTATTCCATACACTTGCATCATACTATAAATTTTAAAGAAACATATTAAACAAAATCCTGAGGAAGTATTAGTAATAAATATTCGAATATATCAGGAAGTTAATCGACTTCCGAAACATAGAAATTCCAAATGTTCGTATAACCCAAAATTTTAAGCAAGATTAATTAAAAATATACTTGTACGAAGCTTTCGACAGAAGCTTCATAGAAATCAAGTAAAAGTACCAATTCTTCGTTTTTAGGTTAATCTGCAAGTGTCTTAATTCATTCTATGGAGAAATAAACATGAATATTGTCGATATTTGAACAAAAACTGTATTTGACCATGACAAATGATGCAAGTGTAGTTATAATCGATATGTCATCGCATTTATAGAAAACACTATAAACATGAAGAAACTTATTTAACTCAAAAAAAAAAAAACCATCTTGCTATTTATTAACAGTACTCGTGTTACCTTTACAGAAAAATGTCGCGTATCCGCGAAGGAATAGGAGAATAACGGTGAGTCAGAAAACGCGGTACAGAAAGACCTTGTATTCTTTTAGAACACTGAAAATACTTCTTTTTTTTAACCGTATGTTTATACCCCTATCTAGCTATGGACACCTCTTTCATCGCTCTTTATCGTGCATTAAGTTCTTTCATTTACTCGGATATATCACATCGCTTACTCAAACAATACACTGTTTTCATCATCCTTGTTAGGCGTGTGTACCAGCGGAAATTAAATAATGAGTAACGCTGTTTGGATATATATATGGGCTGTAAGAGGCCAAGAGAAAACAGGCTTACGAAAAGTTATCACTTGGTGGTTCTTGTTTTATCTTCTTCTGAGGGGAGATTGTCTGTGAGCGTATGTCTGTACCAGGTCTCTTCACCTGAGGATTACTCTTCACAGCAGTGGTTGGATCTATTGGCGAAAAGTGAGTTAATTATCCACAACTCTTATTATTATAATAATTATTATCTATTACTGCACTTAAATATACCCAGAATTATTCGTATAAAAAAATGTTTGACTTTTACTAGAATAATATGGGACTATTTAACGGAGCCCAGAGTAACAATATTTAAGTGTTTAAATTTGTTAATAAAAAAAAAATATATACACTAACCCTGCAACCACCTAACTTGCGTCGCTGGTCCGTATCCTTTATCATTTCGTGCTGCTATTCTAAATATTATGGCCGGTTTTGTAGTGGTATCGACGTGAGCGGCACTAAGAGAACTATTTGTCACCGAACAAGAATTATTCGAACCGCAATAGACTCTAATAAAGGCTAACTGATTCGGAGTCGACAGAATTGTTCTTGGTTCTCCGTCGTTATTCAACGCAGTACTAGCACTCCGCACTGCTAAATAGACAGAATATTCTAAAATAGGTCCAACGTTGCTGGATGGCGGTTCCCACGAAATTTGAGCACCCTCCGTAGATTTGGAAATTTTAATAGCGCTAGGTGCACCGGGGTATCCCGGAAGACACGTTTTGAATGCAGATACCTTAAAGGAGAATAGAATTTAATATTTATTATTAATGTTGTTACGATACACATAATTATTTTATTTACCTCGCTCCAAGGACCTCGTCCACAATTATTCGCAGCAGCGACTCTGAACTTATACGCAGTTCCAGGTTCTAAGACAACCCTAGTCTTTCCTTTGAACATATCCATACTTAACTGTTCCGCAGAAACATCAAGGTTTAACGGATCATCGCCAGATAAATAATAATGTTGTACAGTAAAACTTGTCCCTTTGACTATACCGACATTATACCATTCTGCCTCCTTCTTTTCTTCTTCAGTCTGTGGATACATATCACGGGATTTATATTATGATAAAACGTTGAATAATAATGGAAGCATTATGCAACAGCATGCAATCTTACCAACTCAGCTTTTATTTTCACTGGTTGTTCCGCTGAACCTAAGGCAGCTGTAGCCAATGTAGTCAACGCTGTAGCATCATCTCCATTTTCTGATCTACAGTCATTTATTTTATTGTGCTTCGAAATATCTTTTTTAACAGATTCTTCGTTCGTGTCCATTTTGGCCGGGGCCACTACTTTCTGAACAGCGATTGCCTTTTCAGGAGGTGGAACACTAGTATTCGTAGATGCTATTGCTGGTTCTGGTATTTTCACCTTTTCCGTCGGCGCATCGGATTGTTCTAACTTTATTTGGATATCTGGGGTTGTAATGGGTGTTGTAATGGGTGTTGCTAATGGCATATTTACATCGGCGGAAGCCACAGGAGAATTTGTGTCCATGGGTACATCATCACTATCTTCTAATTTCTCTATTGAAGAATTTTCCTCAGGGAGATTCGTCGATGGTTCTGCATCATCATCATCATCATCAACATCATCTTTTACTTTCGTTTCATCTTGACTATTCTCCTGAGAAAGTTGAGATATACTATCTTCGGGTGACAAATGTTCAGGAGCTGGTGATTTTTCATGATCAGAATCGTGTGTATCAACAGGTACATTTTTCGCATCGTTATTTTCAATTTGTTCGACTTCATCGTTTTCTGATTGCTCCATAGTGTCTGGCATGGATGTCTCTTCCGGAGGAGTTTCCGTGGGTACTTGCATACTAGCAATTTCAGCTTTAATTTGTTCCACCTCGGATGGTGAATTATTTACAATTTCAGCGTCATTTTCGCTTGCTGGTTCTGGATCATTAGTAGCTTCTGCAGATACTCCACTTTCATCCGGTTGTGAGTCAATCGAAGGCTCTGACTTTGCTGGAAGTTCTGTTTCAGTGTTTTCTGAAACAGGTAATTCAGGTGTTGCCTCTGCAGCTTCTGCATTTTTCGCGTCGTTCTCTTCTACGTGCACATCTTCCGTATCTGCAGCATTATTGTCACCCTTCACGTCTGTAGACTGTATGGTTGCTGCTGGCTCCTGATTTTTGGGTGAGGGACTTTCTTCTATATGAACTTCATCGTTCCCTTCGTCCTCGGACAAAAGATCACCTGCTGCACCATCGACTTGAGGAATCACGAAGTTATCATCGTCGTCAACTTGCATATGTTCACCAGCTCCCAGTTGGGAGACCAAAGCGGCGGCTGTGGTAGCTTCGTTACCATTGCAACTATCATCCACCTTACCATCCCCCGCTCCTCCATCATCTGTAGCCACCATAAAAGATAAGCCACCAGACGGTTCTTGAACGGGATCTATCAAACCAGCCTCTGCAGCTAATGCAGCTAGTGCTGCATCAGTTGTAGCGGGACCATCAGACGTAGATGCTAATGATGCTGACGGTTGCTTTTGTGATGGAACAAACAACATCTTGCTTGTATCTATCACATCTGATGCGCTAGAAGTAGTTACTATTGAATTACTTTGAGGCATTAAAGTAACTGTTTTCGCGCCTATTCCACCAGACATCTGTAACGTTACAGGTTTACCGGACACGGTAACTGATTCTGGTGTTTTCTGCATTTGAGGCACAGTAACAATCTGACTCTTTCCAGGATTGAAAATGGCTTGCGGGCTACCTTTTGTGGAGAGTGTCATTGTCTTTGACACACCACCCTGGAGTGGTACTGTTATAGTGATAGGCTTTCCAGCAGTTCCACCTCCCATTGCTCCGGATGAAACAACAATCATTTTCACGCCTTGCTGATTGGTTACGTGATTAGTAGCTGACAACGGTAAAACGTTTACGGGTGTAGTGATATTACCAGCTTGCCCACCACCAGCCTGAGAGGTAGTAACAGCCTGCACAGCTCTTAAACCAGAACCTGTCGTTACAACAATTATTTGATTACGACCCACTAGCCCTCCATTAGCCCCAGGTTTCGTGAGCATTATCTGTTTGCCGTTGATGTTCTGTCCTTTGCTCATCGCAACAATACTAGACGTTTTCATAGTCGTAAGAATTTTCGATCCTGCTACGGTATTAGGATTCACTAATCTTAATATCGTCGCCCCTTGGTTAAGAGGTTTCGCACCTGTTGCTTGAACGGTCTTGCCAGGAATGAGACTGACTTTCGGCACAGTTTTAAGAAGATGTACAATTTGTGGCTGACCAGATATATTTTGGCCTGGCTTCTGGAGAATAATTTGCTTGCTCTGCTGCGGAGACGTAGTTCTTAGCACTGTTGCTCCGGGTGCAGCGAAACGAATTTGTTGCCCGGGTTGAACGTTTTTCATTCTAATCGTATTAGCTGTAGCTTGTGGAAGGATTGGTACATTATTCATACTTATTTTCGGTGTAGCAGCAGCTGCTGCCGCCAACGCAGCAATACCTGACATAGCGGCTGGCGTTTGACCTGTCACTGTGGTATTAGTAGGTGGAGTCTGTTCTGTAGTTGTCGGTGCTGTAGTAACTATTGGCGAACGAATTCGGATAAGATTTCCAGGTACTCTTGGTGTCATTGGACTCGATGGTTTTGTCACAGCTTGTGATGAAACAGGTTTCTGGATCGGGCTTTGTACAGTTGATTGTATTCGTACTGGAGTCTGTGCTAAAGTTGGCCTAGCAGTTGTTGTAGTTGATGGAAGAGCAGCAACAGTGGTAATGGGTGGAGATGTAACAGGAACAGTTGCAGGTGTGACCACTGCTGGTGCAGGAGTAGGTACTGTATTGGTCGGTGTGTTGACTGTAGGAAATGTGCCAGTTGTAGCTGGAGGCATATCATATTTTTGAATTTGCAGTATGTAATATTGTGCTGATGGTGTTGCTGTCCAACTAACTTCCAATGTCTGAGTAGAAGCCCTCACTAACTGCACTCTGGATGGAGCAGACGGTTTACTGACTTCAAGATACCATAAGTCTTTGCAACAAACCTATAAGATTCCATACGATTATAAAATGGATACAATTATTCCTACACTGAAAACTAATTGTAAGGACTAACCCTAACCTGATTGTTCCAAGCCTTGCGATATCCATCTCTACCAGACCATACATAGAGCCTGCAATGCACTCCAACTGCACAGTGACCAGCTCGAGCACGAGGAATATTTTCTTCCAAAGTGTCAAGGGCAAAATGCTGCCACGTCATTGTTTCTACAAAAAAATATTATTAATTGTTTTACCATTTGACATAAAACAATGTATAGTACTTATACCGACTCACCTAAGTTTAAACAAGCCAATGTATTTGTACATTTCCATTCTTTTTCATGGGTTGCAACTTTAACATCGTCGACAAGTGGTACCCATCCTCCAAAAACATACATTTCATGACCAATTAAAGTTGCAGTGTGAAGAGAACGCGGTAATGGACTAAGTCCATGAACCACTGGCTTGTTCCAAGTCATTGTATCAACATCAAGAAACCATAAATCGCCCAAACGACAGCCACTCATTCCACCATAAATTACTAAACAGGATTTTCCTGTGTTCCGATCAGTATAAGCTACTCCAGTATGGGATTCTCTAGGTGGTGGTGTTTGCCCATTGGTCTCTGGTATTTCCCAAGCTGTTGACCCATTAGGGCACAGTTCAAGGGTATACAAATCATGTAAATATCTTGGTATATTGTTCTTAGGGTCATCACTGTCATTAGCTAATCCTCCAAAAAGGAAGACCTTATTACGAATAAGGGTAAAACTATGTCCTAGACGAGGACATGGTGGGTGACCAACTTTTGGTGGCTTTGGTCTTAATCTTTTCCATTCCCACCTACTTGCTTGAAGTTCATACAGCTCATTTGAGTATTTTCCATACTCTACCATACCACCGAAGACCAAAATTCGGGTCCCATCAACAACAAATCCATATGCGGCACAGCCTGGTGGAATATCACCTTTTGTTGATGGTACAAACCATTGATTAGTTGCTGCAAAAAGCATACATTTATACTGAGAACTTTTTGTATATAAACAGTAGTAAAATATCAGTGACTCCATTTGCATCTTTGTTAATAAAAAAGTCAAGTCTGTTTTCCGTTCCATATTTTATACTACATTTATAAAATTCTTGAATCCTTATGAACGTCAACATTATTAAAATATGTAGTTATGAGTATTAGTTTTATAGAATATACGTTTACATGTAGGATACGTGATATTATTCAAAAAAACTTTTCAAAATTGAACTCAAAGTGCGGGCCGCGGCAATACGCACGCGCGCGTCTATTAGCAACGTAATCAGAAAGTATTCATACAAATGTGAAATTTCCATCGGAACCGTTGATGTTTGAGATCCCAGAAACTTGGGGAACTTGATACTGTTTAGAGATGAAGCTGCCAGTTCTTTGCAGAAGCATATCATCTGATTTCATATTCCTATATCACACAAGGCACGATTCGTGAATCACATTTGAATGTAAACCATGTAACTCAATCAAAATCTTCATATGTATAAAACTCCCATAATGTATAAACATCCCAAAAATCGTAGTTATCAAGTGTAAAAAGTTGTAAATGTAACGTCAAATGATCCTCGCATTAAGATGCGATTGCGATCGGTTCTTGAATTTCGTTCCTGATTGGTATCGATATCGCGATATCCTTTGGAGCCACGTTCACGGTGATACTACTTGCAGACGCGTGCGCACTAATAATGGAGACCTGAGAAGGGGTGAAGTTTCGCTTCTGCATGAATACTCTGTGACGTAACGAAAAGAGGGGGAAGAAAGAGAGTGAGATGTGATGCAGGTTCATGATACGGAAGCACAGAGTACTCATAAAGGTTTGAAACTTTTGTCAGAAATAGTGAAATTGAAAATCTTAGAATATTTGAAACTTTGAGGTACTTTTTAAACACGGCGGTACCGGTTCTTTGCATAAGTACATCTCGGTCATTTTCTGTCGGCTAGTGAATAGAATCAAGAACTTTTAAACGAATGAAAAGCGCGGCAATATTCAACTTGCACTATTGTAGCATAAGTAACCTTTTTCTTAGCGTTTAGAATATAGAAAATTCGAAACACTGTAGTTTAGAAATATATACATGATTTTATAAAGTTCATTTTACGGAGCAAAGTACTTGTACTGGGTAATCTTACATTAATAATAATGATTATTGCTATAAATTTTTCTGAAGTTATTTTGATATTTTTGTATATACAGACTGTATAAAATATGCAAATACACACAAAGATTAAACGATTTTATATTTTCATATTCTACAGGGATCGTGAGTCACTTTCGTATAGTAAACCATGTATCACAAACGAAAGTACAATATAAGTTTCCCGCTTTATTTTCTGTTGCATATATCATACTTTAAGGTCACTGAAATCCTAGACATCAAATGCAAAATATGGCAAATGTAACATAGAATAATTCTCGCATGTTAATCGGTTTTTTAATGTTATTCCCAACTTTGATATCGATATCGCGATCGCGGCGATACTACTTAAACACGCATGCGCACTGAAAATTAGGATCGAAAAAAGGCCAACTTTCGCCTCTGTACAAATGCTCTGTGATGTAGTTGTCAAATGTTATACCACACAACGATAAACTTCTCCCCACTCTATATGATGTCTACTGCGCAACCGGCAAAGCTAGATTTGTCGAGGGTACTCTGTGACGGAAGGGATATGAAAACGTACAACGATAGAGTGGGAGGAAAAATAGGAACGGAAGGAAAAAAGAGAAGGAAAGGTGAAGCGCGAACGTGGAATGACGGGAAACGCAGCGTATTGCATGTCGGTGGTGGGGCGTATAGAACAGCAATGGCCGCTCCCTTGCGTATCAACATGAAAAATGACAGATCGCTCTAATTCTACGTATGAAACTATCTCGATGCTTGTAAAATGAAACTAAAAAATGCTAGCATAACTGGGATACAACTGAAGATAATAAAACACACGATATTAAACCGTTTGATACGAAGAAAATTCGTGTTTCTACGGTAATCCGGCCGGTGACCGTTTTGTTCATGTATGTCGCCATCTTGGATCGCGGGAATGATCAAGAACGGCGCGCACGAAAGACGCACAGCAGTGATGCGACTTACCTGTGTTGTAGACGTGAAGCTCGTCAACGATGCCCTCGTTTCCACCGCCGAAAACAACCATAAGGTCTTTAATAGCCACTGCCCTGTGCCCATGCCTGGGTCTTGGCTGGGGCCCGGTCGTATTTGTGATTCTCTTCCACTTTAGCATGGATGCCGCCATGATGGTCATCGATCATATTATCCTTTTAAACGCGCAACTATGTACCACTGAGTTACCCCTAGAGCCGTAAAACCCGCGCTATTTCCGAAGATAATGTTACTTTCCCTCTATACTCGATTCTGTTTGCACTCTCCTTACCTTTTCGAAAGCACGCACAGCCTACGAAAACTTATTACTCCCGATGTTCACAACACTGTCGATATCGATACTTTTTGATTTTAAGTTCTCTTAACTTTTGAATTTCACGAATTGTTTCACCATCACAGTTCAAACATACAGTCGATGGAAACATGAAGCTACAAAATGATTTTAAAATAAGAATTTTAAATTATGAATACTCTATGCGAATCAGAAGACGTCCGTAATGCAACACGTATAGGCAGAAAGCTCACCGTCTCTTACGTTCACGATATTTATGACACTGGTTACACGTTATGTAGAGTGCCCACTCAGAGAACACGTACGGCCCGGCTGTGTATATATTTGTCACGTTGTACAATCATTGTTGCAATTAAATGACGGTTCCCATCATACACCTAACTAGAGGTTAATTTATCGCTGTTCGTCTCGATTGCCGCGAAATTAATGGCACCTCGCGTCTTGTTTTAAAATTTCCGTCAAATGAACGAAAAACGGCGCGATAAACGATTGCACTATGCACTGGTAATTACTTCACTAATTGTAGGCATTACAATGTATAAGCGTTCGATCGGATGTGACAGACGTGTAACAACTGGTTTCTTAGTACTTGCCGAAAGGAATTATTGCAATCAGAGTTGACGGCAGACACAAGTAACCTCTACAACTTTCATCCACCACTGGATACAGCTCGCGTCCTTAACAACCGCACATGTTACCAACTCATATTGACTTGGGGATTTTCGTGACTTTGTTCAATAAAAGGTCGTTTTGTACTTCACCGAATAAAATTATACTTGTCCACATCCCTCTTCTGTCTCTCAGGGGATGTTATGAAAAACCGCATACTTGTCTTTTCTACAATAATCCGTGGCACGAATTATAGTGCATTATAGTGTCAGCAAGTGTCAGTAAAGAACTCGTGTGAATTTCGGAATGATTATCTGTAAAAATTCCTTCGATGCTAGAATCTTATATATACAGTTTCATCGCTCTATTACAATTTAACAGATAAAGAATTCTTTAATTCTGACAAGAAATGAAGAAAAGTAAATAAAATATTATATTAATATGAAAGAAATACAATACTTATTTCATAATCGTATTGTTATATGTAAGTGGGTATATGAAAAGTATAGAATAGTATAAAAATGTAGAATAATGTAACACAAACATTGCAAATGAAAAATTCATTTCAAATTGTAATTTCTTATTTAGTCTCTTTTTGTAAATGTATCGTTCTTATGCATTCAGCATATATATTTTATATATTTATTTATTTATTTATTTTTACGTGTTTTAATGAAATGTTTCATAAACCAGACTTAATTTCTGAATTCTTGCGAGCAAAAGAGGAATTACTCCAGCGCTACTTCTGTCCTTCGGTCTGGCTTCATCCCTACCATAAGACCGCGCAGTTTGTTACATATGCTATGTCTATGGAGATATCACAGAATATCGTGGCATAGATAGTAATGTTATGTTTTGTAGCATGGACATAGCTATTATGTCCATGTTTTGTAGCATATTCTAGGAGGCAGAAATGGGATACACAACTGTTTTGTTCGGTGGTGTAACTGAACTTCAGTATTCAATTGTTGCTCATGATGTCTTAATTACGATCACAAAATTTTACTGGCATGGTACGTAACGTGTAATACGCGTCTAACTATTGCGTTAGCGATGAATGAACAAACATACTTATGTTTGAATATAAAAACAATTTCAACATATTTGTTGAAAATAAAAAGTCCATAAAAGTTTTTTCTATTAATAGTTTCGATAAGTACTAGATAAAGAATATTTTAAATATTATATTGTCTATTCAGTAAAGATGAAGCACGTCGCGAAAAAATCATGTGACTTCGCAGGAATGTACCACAGCATTAGAGTATCTTTGTCGAAGAAAAAATTTATTCATTCTCACTTAAAATTGACATTTTACAAACTATAATTAAATATTGTACCACTAATTAAAAAATCAAAGAAATTCATTGAAATGTTTTGTCATTTGAAGGAACACAAATTTTAAATGATCGTTTTATTTAGATGAAAGAGAAGTTATGTTTTATACTCAGGCTTATTGCAAGTTCGTACGGCCCTGTCTTCTGCAATATGAACCAATAAGAATTCTACCACGTAACGAGGCGTCCCTATTGTTGTTTTAACGTGCGATATCACTATCCAGATGTAGTTGTATTGTTTGTCTAGTTCAAGATAGAGCACATTAAAAGAACAATGGTGGCGCACCGAAACGCTGTGTGAGTCACGTGACGAATTTCTCGTAGTCCATTTTATCATGCACAGGAACGTACCTATTTACATGCAATAACCCGAATTGTGAGCATAAGTTTCGTCTTCCCCATTCTTTTAAATAAAAGGTTGTCGTAAACCCCTGTGCCTTCAAATGACAAAACATTCTCTTTTAAATTAATAGCGTATAGGTATGAAGTCAAGTTTGTAATAGGCCGATATTAAGTAAGAATGAGTAAGTCATCTTTTCTAAGAAATTTAATGCTATGGTACGTTCCTGCAGTAGACACGTGATTTTGTTATAATGTTTCTATCTTTGATCAAGATAGACTTTAAATAACTTATTCTATGTTACATTATGAAATAAATGCATAAAATTCACCATCTAATTGATACCACAGATATTTCACTTGATAATTTATGTATATTTCAATCATAATAATATATAATGTCATTTTAACATTTAAAGGAAAACGTTATAATAAATTGCAAATAAGATTTATTGAGTATGCACAAGATAAATTGTACAAATCAGGGATTTCTAAAATAAGCATAAAAAATTATAATCATAATTCCTACCAAACTTCATTTCTTTACACCACATCATTCTCAGAATACACTTTGTATTGTTCCTGTATGATGTAATAATAACAATACATAGTAAAAGTTATTACATACTTCTTTTCTTGGTACATCACTGAAGGAAACATGTTTTTAATGTCTGGATTTACACATTTATGTTTTATGATATTTACAATACTTTTTGGAATGACATAATACCTTGCACATCTGATACAGTTAATAAATGACAAAATTGATACTGTATGCATAATGCATTGCTGTGTCTAATTTTTAGACGCTGACGATATTTCCATCGATAGATGCATTAATGTAAGCACATAGTAAAAAATTATCGGAATTGTATGGGGCTTATCCTTAAGCCAATGCATTCTTTACCAATTAATGCAACATCACAAACTTTACATACTGTCTCCTTAAACTGTGGCAAATAACTAGCTCCACATAAGGGACACTTAACTTCTGGCTTCCCTTTATAAATTGGAACGAATGTGCTAGCACATAACGAGAATGGATTATGCTCATCATAGACTAATTGATGCTCATCCACTGGATTCTTATCACATGCCTGAAAAAGATAAAATAAATGAAACAGTACCCCATTATAATTGTACATATTAGCGATCGAGATAAAACAATACATACTTGTAATATTTTTCTAACTTGCTGTGCTAAGTCCGGTTTGGGACCTAATTCAAGTAATCTCCTAGCGAAGGAAGAAGCGGTTTTGTAGTTCTTCAATTTAAAGAACATATTCACAGCTATCCTCAAAGTGAGGATTTGATGTACTGGTTGCAAACTGCAATGTGTGAAGTAAGCTGCCATTTCGCAAATGCGTTTTTGTTCAGCTAGAGTGGCTTTAGGCAAATTCTTCCTTTCAGTCTCCATTTTTAAACCTAGAATATACTCCCTGCAAATTTGAATTAACTGCTGAGCTTCCGCAATATCTTGTCTCGTGTCCACAACTAACAGTGGTACACTAAGTAAAATTGCTTGGAACTTTTCGATTGCTTCCAGGAATTTTCCACCGGTTGTTAAGTGATAACATACTTGAAGTCTCTGAACTAAATCTGTCAGATGTAATCCAATTGCAGGTAGACCGCTTTTTGGATTTGTATCTTTCCAATTTCTTTGAGGATACGCATGTAAAGAAGGTATACTAGGTAATGTGTCGAAGGCTGTTTTCGCACGTGCATATGTGTTCATAAAGAGATTCTCATAAGCCGCGAATTCAACCACACCGACTTGATCGTTTAATAATCTAAATGCTGTTTCAAATGATCCAGCCAATATATGGTCTACAACTAATTGGGAATTGTTCACCCAATGTTGTGTTGGTGGTACTCCTTTTGTGGGTGGTGTAAAATAACCATCTTCTGTTGTAGTAACTGCAGTTTCAAGTTCTGGAGGTAGATCTACGTCTTCAACGTCCCATCCAGCACTTTCTTCACCTTCAGGTGGCTGTTCTGTTTCACCACCTTCTTCGTCATCTATTCCTAATTCTTCATCATTGCCCCATCCTTCGGCAGGCACAGTAGTATCTTCTTCTGGAGCCAAAGCAGCAGCTACTTGGCTCTTTCCACGTGATAACATTGCACCCTCGAAGAAACCTTTCGAAACTGTTAACAATGGCCAGTTATTTTCAGCCTGTTGAATAGGTACAGGTGGCTGGAGATATACTGCTCCTTTTTCTAGGGCAGAAAGTTCTTCGCTCATGGAGCTGTAGTGAACATCATCTTCCGACGATGAAATTCCGTGAACTTTTTCTGTCACGTAAGCTAAAGATGCTTGGCCGGAATTCTAAAACATACCAAAATAAAATGAATATTCCGTAACAATAAATCAGATCTTGATTAACATTTGCAAAAATGCATACCTTTAAAATTTTTGCACGCTCATAGATGTCACCAAGTAACAGGCTACCCTGATATTGTCCAGAGACATCCTTTCTAATTTCTGCAATTTTTATCATTTTACGTAACTTTTCCAAGTTACCGGTAATGAGGTAGAGGAATGATAACTTTTCGAAATTCTTTGTTCTCTGATAACACATCTCCACAACTTGATGATTGCCTTGTAGTAACGCTGCTTGAGCTAAACTCTCCCAACAGGCTTTCTGATCGAGAGATCTTGCCGCTTCTAAAGCAACTTCAATATTTCCGCATTCCAGAGCAAGACCAAATCTAGTTTTTTCGTCTTTGACAAAGTGCAAAGCAACTTCGGGATACCCCTTTTGTTGCAGGTACGCAATTATAGATTGACCGACGAGATTTGCATTGCGAACCATGTGCAATACTTCTTCATACTTTCTATTAATCAAAGCCAGTTTGAATTTATATTCTGTTGGATCTATTCTAAGGATCCTTGGTCTGCATTCTCTGTCCAGGCAATAAACTTGATTGCCTTTCACTCTAGTTACATAGATTGGTAAATCTAATGTGCGAATGATGCCGTGATCACCGTTATTAATTGCATATTTAATGTGATTACTAGTAGTGTAGATAAATACTCCAGAATCGTCCCATGCTCCTGACTTAACTCTAGTGTTCTCATGAACGGAGCACAGGGACTCTAATCGTCTGTTACAGATGTTAACCGTATGTTTTGCAAGTAGAGCAACATGAGACATGTCGCTAGACCAAACGACGTATCTGCATTTAGAGATCTTAACTTCGGCCAATATCCTTTTTTGCTGAACATCAAAGAGTGTTACTTGGTCAGCATCCCGTAGCAGGAGCATTCCCGTGCCAGCATAGAATATTTCATCACAATTCGATATCTGCACCTTTTTAGTAACTTCATTCTTCAAGTTTTTGATGACCAGCTGAAACAGAACATAAATTAATTATTGTTTATTAGTTCCAAGGCTTTTTTGGTCAACTTTTCTTTAAATACCCACCGAATATACTCTGTCTAATACAGCAAAACGGTTTCTAGCAACCCAAATCGCGGTGACTCCAGATGCTCGTTTTGTGTCTGCTTCGGTATTTGAATCACCTTCACGAGGTATCATGTACAGATCATAGGTACTGTTCTCAACATTGTTAGGTGATCTTGTACAAATTAAAACAGCGTTTTCTGCTTGATTATATGACATACTATAGGGAGGTATCTTCCCTCCTCCACGAATCTGCATAACAGACGTGTCTTTCGAAGTAGTAAAATCCAATTTTCTAAGGAAACGTTCTTTTACATAATAAAGAACATTGCCATACACAGCATACGCTGGACGTTCTCTCTCAAGTTTGAAAATAATCATTCCAGAATCATGACCAGCAGCAAAAAGGTTTAAAGTGGGATGAGCAGCAAGGACCCAAAATCTTTCGTGCTCTCTTCTGAATGTGTGTAAGCAAGAACGTTTTGTCATATCCCAAACACGAATACTCTTATCCTCAGAATTTGAAAGAATTAAGTCTTGTCTAGGGTGGAATAAGACACAAGAAACGTTGTTGTAATGTCCACGACAAGTATCAACCTCCCACGCTTTAGCGTCATTCATTCTCCACATTTTAATCTGACGATCGTCGGCTCCAGAAACAATTAAGGGTAATGTGGGGTGGAAAGACGCCCAATTAACACCACGATCGTGTCCTTCGAGGACATGTTTTACAACAGCATCGGCTTGGCCAAACAAATCTGTTGCTCCAGGATTTTTCAAATGATCTTCCAGGCCTCCTGGACCAGGAGCCACATTTTTCTTTCTCAAACCAGATATATCCCATACCCTGACCGTTTGATCTAAAGAAGCTGATACTATTATGTCTTCAGTAGGATGGAACTGTGCACACATTACATAGTGATTATGTCCAGTTAATACACAAATGCAAGTGCGGCTCTGCCAGTTCCAAATACGGATTGTTTGATCATCTGATGCACTTAAGATCCATGGGTATTCTTGATGAAATTCAATTGTTCTGATATAATCTAAGTGGCCTAATAAAGTAAAGATACATCTACGCTGTTTATAATTCCATACTTTAATTTTGTAATCATCACCACCAGATACAAACAATGGTTGTTGATTATGGAAGCAGATTCCACGAACAGGACCATCGTGCTCATCAAATTTGTCTAATAGGGTACACATACGATAGTCCCATAATTGTATAACACCATTATGTAAACTGTAAAAAAGGATTTATGTTATACTTTTTCATAATTATTTTATTTTATTTGCAGTGAGCACTTGATTAGCAACATTTTATTTTAATAATAATAATTTATATAATAATGCAAGTTAAAAAAAATTATCAGAATATTGAGACTTTCACAGCCTGATATTGTATAGTTGTTACTGTTAAGGATTATGAGTGTAAATTGTGTCCTTTTAAGAGAAATGATTCCAACTTAAAATCTTTGTTTTCTTATCATTCATTCAAAACATAAAATAAAAATTTATTTCATGGATAATATAAAGAACAGCAAAGACATATTAAAGTAAAAATTAAGAATTTGTATGTTATATACCTGGCAAGAACCCAGGGGCGTTTCGGATGAAAAGAAAGCCCTTTGACACGGGCAGATTTTGTCTCAAATTTCGTCAACATGTTTTATTCAGTGTCAAATAAAGTAATGTTTTTAAGCAAACATCCTCTATCCCTAACCTTAGAAAATTTGACACGACTGAAGACACGTCACTGCTGCCACGAAGTACAGTATCTCAAGAGATATTCACCTGCAGAGTGCAGTTTGAACGACACAACTAGAGAAAGATCATTTAATCGTTTCAGGTTTCGTTACATGTAAGTAAAATTTGGAATATATTTTAGTGGACACTTTATTTTATTTATAAATATCTTCGTGAAATTTTAATAGTATACTTTTATTTTATCTTTGATTCATAGTTGACTGATAATCAATGATAGTTTAACAATAGAGAATATACATATACAAACATATCTTATGCACCGAATAGGAATTTTCGGAAGGATTAAGACAGTTTTTGATTTATTTTTAATTTCATATAAGTCCCTCCATAAATGACATAAATTTCTCTTTGATACGGTCTTTTTATAGAATAAAATGAGAATTATATAAGTTGTAATAGATTAAAATTGTACTTCGTATAAATATTATTTTTTTGGAATCCAAAAGAACTATGTGCCAGTTTTGGATTGGTTTAAAATGTAGCACGCAAGCTAGGACCCGCGCATGCTCATTTACAAACCACTGTTTTGTCGTCTGTTTTTTAAAATGTAGCACGCAAGCTAGGACCCGCGCATGCTCATTTACAAACCACTGTTTTGTCGTCTGGTCTTTGCTGTCAGCCTAGAAAAATCTCTGATCTCTTCACTTACTTTGCGAATATTTTTGAAATTCTGTATATGATTATGATTTTGTATGAAGCATTGTAAAACAAACGATTCAAAGTTTTGATTTCTTTCCCTTCTTAAAGTAAAGTAAACATCTTCAATTATAGTTTTCAAGTATATACATGTTGACGTAGGACAGTGGCCGGTACATTCGAGTGGAATAATGCGAAAAACTATTGATGTTACTTTTCTTCATTTGTTAAGTTTATTCATCTTGCTTTACATAACTGTTTCGGTGGAGTGTAACGAAAAACCATCGAGTGAAGAACTCAAAGCACAACAATTTCCATCCTGTGCAGCTTGTAAGGTCTTGATAAATAGTTTTAAAAAGGTGAGTTTTTTATTTTATGTGTGTCATGAATGGAAAATAAGTTATACCTGAAAATATAGTCCTTAAAAATATACTATTTATAAAGTATTTTATGCATATTACTATTTTAAAAGTAGGAATGCATCAAAATAGAGTGATAAGTATGAAAATAAAATTGGTACAAAAATATTTGTTATATGATCTTACTTTCATTTAATTGTCTCCACTACATATTTATTCCATAATATACTAATGAAATTTTTGTTATCTAGGGTATAGAAAGGACTAAGCGTGAAAAATTTGATGGAGGCGACAGTGCATGGGAAGAAGATAAATTGGGTTCATATTCAAAAAGTGAAACTAGATTAATAGAAATACAAGAACACTTATGTAAAGAAGTAGAACGTGGTGAGACTCAATGTCATGCCTTAGCCGAAGATTTAGAGAGCAAGATAGAAGATTGGTGGTTTAATCGTCAAGAATCAAATCCAGATTTATTTGTTTACATATGTATTCAACAAACAGAACGGTGCTGTCCAAACGATCATTTTGGACCACAGTGTGTACCATGTCCAGGTTTTCCAGATAAAATTTGTAACAATAATGGTAAATGTAAGGGAGCAGGCACTAGAAAAGGAAATGGTGGATGCTTCTGTGATAGAGGCTATCAAGGAGACAGTTGTTCTGAGTGTGCAATTGGATTCTATGAATCCTATAAAGATGAGAATAAACTTCTTTGTTCTCACTGTCATGCTGCTTGTGATGGTGCTTGCAAAGGAGCAGGGCCAAAGAATTGTGAGAAATGTATGGAAGGATGGCATATGATAGATAATGAAGGGTGTTCTGACATTGATGAATGTATGAAAAGCGATGAATATTGTCCTGGCAATCAGTTTTGTATTAATAAGGAAGGAGGCTACTCATGCTTAAGTAAATTATAAGAAATGTATATTATATGTAGTTAACTTGAGAGGTAAACTTTGATACTAATTGTTTGACTTAATTCAGGTTGTGACAAAGCCTGTAGTGGTTGTACAGGTGATGGTCCAGATATGTGTATAAAATGTGCTGAAGAATACCATAAAAAAGATAATTTATGTATAAGTAAGTTTTATGATTGATTTAAGACAAAGTTATTTCTGTATTTAGTAGAGGGTAATATTTATATTGATGTAATATAAATTTATTTATTTTAGACTCGGATCTTCTGGGACGTAAAAAACAAGAGAATATGGCTAGATATGCTACGTATTTTGGTCTTTGTATAGCAACTTGCATTATCTTCCAACGAAATATTTATATAGCAAGTGTAATAGGTTTATTAGTTGGTGTATACATATCAGTTTCTGAGTATATGATAGCTAATAGTAACCTTCAAGATACAACACCAAAATTGGATATCCTAGGACCAGTGTAAATCAAGACATAGTATACCAAAATATTATATCATTGTACAATTCATTCTGAGAATTCTTTTCTTGAATAAAAAGTGTATAATGTATAATGCCAATTAATAATACATTGTAGATTAAACATCATTGTTTTAATCTATATATCATTATAATCATTATCTTCTACTTTGAAGAATTTTGTATTAAAAAACATTTAAAAATTTCTAATTTAAAAAATGATTGTAAAAATTTGTGGGATGCATATACAAAACATAGAATACTATTAAAATAGTATTCTTAAAATAGTATTCTTCAGTAATTAAAAATGTTTATATCACTGTGTTCATTGCGTTTGTTGATTTTTTATACATAAATAAAAGTATTAACTTAAGTATTTCAAGTACATGAAGTCTATGAGATATAAACTTTAGAATAACGCAAATGATGAAGTTGTAAACAATATTACTAACATAAACAGTATTTAATACCAGGTAAATAATAGCTATTATTGCATAAGTTAAAACCATTATAGTTAAATAAATAATTCTAACATATATTGACGTAAATTTATAATTTTAGTACATATACATATACATACAATTTTATTGCTGCAGGATACAGATCCTGTTACATATTGGTCATGTATTACTTTCAATCAGTTTCACTAGATGGCGTCAAGGATGAAGAGTTTCTCGCAACACTGTGTAGTTCCTGTAAGTATATATAACCGTAAGGAGGAACGAAACAATGCAATATTCAATATCATATCCATATTATTATTTTTGGAGGAAGCTTAGCACTGTCAGAGCTACATAAATTGATTATAAAAAGAAATTAACGCTTACAAATAATTCCTATAATTGTTTATATTTGTTTTATATCTTACATCTATAAACAGTTTTAATTCGTAGTTATAATTCTGTAGTTTTTAATTTAAATAGAATTTTATTTCTTCAGACGGAATATGTTTATTCCTACAAGTGTAAAAAAGTTTGAGATGAATAATTTAAGCTTATACCAAATTCACACTACCGGTCACAGACACGGTCAGATGTTCAAATCACGATCATTTAGAATTTAGATTACGTAATGATGATATGTACATATTATATTTCTCTCATTGGTTTACGTGCATATGAGTGATAAAGACTGTTGCCACCGTGACCGCTAGTGTGAATCTGGCCCTATGGTGATCACTTATTTATATTTTACAACTGAATCATGTGAAATATTTGATTTATGATTCTTGTTGATAATATAGATTTAAATATAAACAATGAAATCCTACGATTCAATAGTGTTAGTGTACGATAAATATTGATAGATGAGTAAACAATATTTTTAATAGTAATTCATTTATAAAGGTCATTCCATTTCAAATCGATCACTTCTTGGCTCATTGTTAGTGTCAATGTCGGGGTGGTGAAAAAGCCGCTGCACAAAATAATTGTCCATCCCATTCCTGTCTCCTACACTACGAAAACAGATAATTACAGTAAAGTCTTTCTAGTAAAATTAGCATTAAAGTAATTTGTTCCAAGAGAATCCTACGTTGTAACTTCGACAGTCTTGCAAAGGTACATTTAAAGTGTTGTGTAGAGACGGGTGATGTAGTCTTGTACAGAAATTTGACTAATATCTTTATTCAAACCGAAGACGACAAGCAAATATGCACTAAAATTGTCCGATAAGCTGCTACTAACTAAAAAAGTAAACAATAAAGAAGTAAAAACCCCAGCACAAAAGTTGATACATAATATTCAGAAACTGAAAAAAAAAATAAAAACCATAAATTTCAGTAATCTCTCCACCACAAACCATTTCTCTAAATAACTCAAGATCTCCAACAAGGAATAAATTCTCCTAAATTACAAAAAATAGTATTATCATTACGCACATACTCCCACGCCCGTTTCACACAATTAACAATAGACATTTGCAATCACACAGTGTCCACGAGTCCCTAAATTCCAACCAATTCTACTCAAGCATTTCCTATAATATTCAAACCCGGTGATTCGCCGGTCACTGCAAGAGTTCCACACCAGAATGTCTCTCGAACCAAGCGTCCACATCTGCAAAAGTGAGCACCGCCCTGTTATCCTAGACAACTCTCAGCACTGACACATCCTCCGGTGTACACACCGATCAAACCTCGAACAGAAAAAAACCTCCAATACATCAATACATTCAAAGAGTCCATGTACGACGATCCTTCCACAAGTTCCCCGAGACCATAACCAATTACCACCCCCACAACGCATAAGTAATGCACTTCCTACCTCAACAGAGCACCACAGTACGTAGGACTATCTCTCATTTCATCTCCCAGACTCCAAACACGAAGCATGTAATTCACCTCAGTCAAAAACACCGTTTCATCCATGGAAATCGACAAATCCCATTGACTTCGACTATCAAGTAGACATTGCAAGACAAACGTGACACGGTCCTCGTCATGTCTTTACAACGTGTCAGTTTTACGCACAGTTCGACGGGAAGGAAACCGATGTCCCGTAATCTATGACGAATAGTAATCGTATGAACCGATGCACTGAGATTCGCGGCAATGTCAACTGAAGTCTCGAAAGCATTCAGTTCCGCTTCCTGGATAGTGCCAAGGTTTTCATCGGAAGTCGCACGACTTCTTCAGCTGTTTCCTCGGTGTCGGTCTTGTATCCCGTCTGGGCCATTTAAAATGAATTCTTTAGTATATCTTCTTACTATCTTTTCAATGCAGTCTTTGGATGTTGCAGTTCGCAGGCAATTCTGTCCTCGCTGGTGGTGAGCAACAGTTTGGCCCTTTGAAAATTCTGGGAGAGTACGAATCGTTCTTTGATGCAGTCTGTGTATCGATCATAACTCGCAGGTGTAATAGTTTCATCGATCTTACGGTACATCGAGCTTTATTTTGGGAGGGTTCCTTGGAAGGATTGTCTTTATTAAACGTTAAGATGTGAAGTTCTGCTGTATGTGGGTGAAAGGAAAGCTTTCTGATGCGTCTCGCGCGAATAGACTCCTGAAAGACCACTCGGATCGAGGTACAGAATATTGTTTAACGGTTAACTGGTTTTTTCTTATTTGATTTTATTGTTACTGGTAGCATCTTGTGCTTACCTTGGAGAATAATTTAGACGCTTCTGCTAGTGAGAAAGAAGAAACGTATATTGAAGTGTGGAAATTCGTATTAGGAGGATATGCTTCGCGGTTCGTTTCAGACTGCGTGTGAAGTATAAAATGTGATCGTATTTATACAGTGCGTTTCGTGAATATATCAAGTCCACGTGAAACTCATTTTATTTCGATTAGGACGTTTATTAACTTGTATTTTGTAATTTATTGGGTTGTCATTATTTCGGACGATTTGAAACATTCTTTTTCTTATACTGTTAATGTCGTTTTTTATATTTTCCTTGATATAGTCGTACGTTTATATAATCGTCATTTTTAGTGCATTCACGGTTTGAAGTAAATGATTATTAGAACATGTACGTTGTATTAAGATGCTCCATACATTGTCAATGGGATTTATATCTGGGGAACGCGTGAAGTTGTCGAAAGGATACGGTATCGCTAGTCTGTGAGAAGCACGTATAATTACTTCATATTGGCGATTTATTAACTACACAGTTATAAGTTGAATAAATATCTAGTATACATATTTTTTAGTTCTTTGAAATGGTTTTAGTCGCTGACCGCTAGATGGCCGAATGCACTTTTACTTTCTCACAAGCAAAAATGCATTCGCATAATATATGTATACCAATGCAGCGTGGGAAATCTATGCAATACTCAAAATATGAAACATTTCCATATTTAATTTTTGTGGTCGTTTGTCATAACAACAGGCATTTGGTTAACATCAATCATAATACATACTTTCTTTAAACACTTTCAGGTAAAAAAGCGTTTCTGTTACCGAAATTAATATTATTCCGAATTTCGTGAAGCAGTGATAAGTATGAATTTGTATCAGTTTCTGTTTGTACTTGATTCGTGGTGCTATACAATCGACATTGATGCACGAGTAAAATGCAGTTAGTGTATCTATTTTATCTACTTGCACAAACACATCAATACACATTTGTTATTAATCAAAGGAAGTCTTCATGTTCCAGTACAAGTTGTTCTGATGTTTATAATGTCATTGTTAAATTAGTTTACCGTGTAATCTTTGAATGCATTCAGTGATTGATAGAAAGAACGTGAAGATTCATGATAACACTAGCGAAAACCAATAAGTTGCAGCCTCAATACATTTATTCCCTCGATTTTACCGGTAAAGCATTTAAACAAATCCAAGAAGTAAATAGCATCCGAGCAACCGCGTCAAATTTACGATGACGATCCAGCGCACGTAACATTAGACGATTCACCGCTAGATTCTTTAAAACCAGAAAATTCATTCGCTGTTTCGTTTCAAGATATCGTCTCATTGCTGCTCCCTCATTCTCAGATAATCCATATAAAACTAGACAGAGAGAAAAGGTCGTAGTCACAATAGATTCGGTATTCAAGCACCAGTCGCACAACAGGAAACGCATCGTAAATTAACAACTGAAAAAAATTATCGATGCAGTTCTAAACGTCGAAGGAACGAAAGCTTGAATTTAACAGATTTTCCTGGGGAGGATGTGGAAAATGGAAATGAAACACAGTGTCTGTTCCAGGGGGAGGTTTGTATGGTTCTCGGTAAGTTTGACGATAGGGTGAAATGTCTGGAGCGCGTGAGATGGAATCGAGGGGGTTGTAGGGTTGGAACTGAAGACCATTTTAGAGGAATCCGTGTGTGTTCCTTGCATCAGAAAAATAGTGTTAGTTGGTTTAATTCTTGTTGGGTTTTGGTTTTATTTAACAAGGTGCGGCGGAATCAAGGGTCTTCGTTTTGAAACCTTGGAAGGGATGCAGGTATTAGTGAGCCGGGTGGCGCATAGAGGGCCATTGGGATTAATTAGTTTCTCGAAAGCAGAATTTCACGTTCTCTGTATTATATGCAGTAAGTGCAGACAAAATCATAGCAATACTC